CGTATGCGTTTGCTTTCCTCCCTCTTTGTGCTCTCCCACACAATGAATGAAGATTGTATCATCATACTGGGGCATGAAACAGCCGCATCGCAGTTAGTGTTTACCCAAGAACACAATTGGAATGCACATAAACACACTTTTTTCACCGGTTCATTTTGGTAATCTTAGATGCTCCTGTTAACCTAATCTAGTAATGAAACAGACATGAAAGTAGTTTTTAAATTAATGATTGCCTTTAAAGCCGTTTTGCATTCTAGTATTTACATAACCCCTTACTTGCACAAGACACTTCAGCATCTTGCTATGTGTAATTACAGTGATAGGATAGGCAGAATTTACTTGGCTATGTAAACTCTAAATTGTGTAAATATTGCTAGAATACATTTCTTGTTCAGCGTGTGTGTTAGTAAGTCATTTCCTTGCAAATATGATCTTGATTTGGTTCATTAAAATAGTGACAGGTTCAGTATGTGATTTTTCAGGATATCTTATGAGTACCGATGCCTCTGCTTTCTGCTGCTGAGCTGAAGTCATGAACGGGCCCAAGAGAAAAGCTTCCAATCCTCCTGCTGCCTTATTTGTCCACTCGCTATGTTATTAACAAGTGGGCCTGCTCATTTCCCTCTCCCTAATATAGTACTTATCTATTAATCATCTTACCATGCTTTTCTCTGTGTTAGCGTGGTTTATATTCGTTTAGCACTAACTGAATTTCCCAATCAGTGCTGGAGCATTCCAGGGGTTAACTGGTGGTGACCTCCTGGCATGGGAAGGAGCAGCAGGCTTTCAAGTAGGGTCAAATAATCCCAGATGATTTAGTTCAAATACAGTTTATGCACTTTTTTCTAGTCAAGTTTGGGCTCTTTAATAGAACTTTTCTCTGACGTGGTGTTCGAAAAAGCCTGTGCAGACCAGGAAGCCCAGTGGGCGCTGCTTGTCAAGTACCCAGAGCTCTCCCAGGGGAACGCCTAAAAGGAGCAGTTTGTTAGCGCTATTTTGATTATTGCCACGGCTGCAAGGGAAAATAAAAATGAGAGCATCGTTTGCAGATTGCCACTCTTAGAAGCAAAAATTTTGAGACAGAAATTTTTTCTTTATTCCTGTTTTTATGCTCCTTTGCAGCATGAACCCCTCATCAGGGTCCGGGGCGACTCTCGGTGGTTTTTTCGAGCTGTGTGGTGAAGCATGTGACAGTTGCGCGGTTCAGAACGGCGCGGCAAGCTTGTGACTGAAGTTTCGCAGGGCAAACCGGGCAGGAATAGGGTTTTTTTTCACTTGGTTGGCTGTGGGGAAGGCGGCCCGGAA